TGCACCACAAGGCGATGCTGCAGACCACTAGGTAGACCGGTCGTAGAAATTTATGTTATAGAACTTGTAGTCAATCTACACAAATATTATCAAAAGCTTTTTTTCTTTTAAAATGTGTTCAGATTTTGTAAAAAGTATAAGTCAAAATCGCAAAACTTAAATTTGATATGAGTTTCTTAGTTTTTAACTAATATAGTGGCGAATTACAAAAATTCCTTTTCAATGAAAATTGTTACGGTTATATATTTTAAAGGGGAATTAATTTTCTTATATTTATTTTAATTGATATATCTTGACAAAATGGTGAATGTGGTGATTTATTATTTTGTTTATAACCTTGAAGATGGCACGTTAATAAAATATAACAATACATTTCTTAATACATATTAATTATTTATTTATTTTCTATTTACAAGTAAAGTAAATGTGCATTAACTTTAATCATAATTTAACTTCATATTGTTGTATTTTTAGCCAAATGTAATATTTTGTAAATAATATCTTTGACTCGATCTTGAGGTATTATTCTTCAGGTTATGGAAGGGTAAATGCATCGTGTAAAGACTTCTTATTTATCTAAAATAACGTTAATTAAAGTAATATTAATAATAACCACTTTATATACTTACTTTTGGTATTTGTTTACTTCTGTTCAAGTGGAAATATTCATTGCATTTTGTTAGTTGTTTGGTTGCTACAAAGGGAAACCATATTATATTAATTATATTATACGAAACGATGTACATACCTTTTTAATAACAATAATACCTTCAATAATTATTATTAATAAATAATCTGATTGTGATTTTTGTTTAGATTAATTAATTTGTGGTTAGGGCAGAAACGTCAAATCATCAACGGGTCTAACGGTGTTGCCAGCTTCTTGAAGTTTTCTTAAATCATATTTCACCTCATTCATATTTAGTCTCTAAATAATTAATTTTAGCATTTAACTTATTTTAATACTTTTATTTATTAATGATCTTAAACTCTTATCAATTGTATCTAGTTGTAATTGCATTTAACTTATTATTATTGTTTGATTTATTATTAAGTTTCTTTTATTATCGGATTACTCCTGGCAACATTGGTACTTAACTGGTTGCGGATGTACCTAGGGATTTTATAGCTAAATTTATATCAGGAAGGGGTATCGATATTAAAATTCCAAGCGCCCACCTGTCTGGTGATTTCCTTTCTTTTCTTTTCGGCACGCTGGCAGTGAAGTCACGTTTTGAGTTGGAAAAATCCTTTCATTTGATTTTGGGAAAGGTTAATAATTCTCTACGTTTAATTGATATTATATATATCATACAGCTACGGCTGGATTGAGACGAAACTAATAGCGTTGCATCTTTTGTATTATTTCCAAGGAAATCGCCCACAGTTTGGGTAAGTTAATTTTGGTTTATTAATTATCACGTGGGACAAATTTTTATTGGGTTAATTTTAAATTATGCACCTTGGTTTGGTTTTTCTTTTTACGCACCAACTTGATTCCACGAGGGTTTTCACGACTGGCTAGCGAGGTTCCTGTTCAAACCAATTGATCAGCTAAGGGGAAGCCACGTGGTTGGGCCTTCTGGTTGTGCGGCAGATCCTGGCGTAGGGGATTTTTTTTGGGACCCTTACGAATAAAAGCTAAGTACCAAACTCTTTATTAGCTCCCTCTCGTTCCTGCGTACTTAATAAATATTGTACCTATTTTTTTTTGTTGCTTCTGATTAGTTTTAGTAAAGACCATTTATTTAGTAATTTAAGTATCATTTATATCGTGGGTACCCCGTTTTTCATATATATTAAATTTTAGTAGAGTAGGTAATTTTTTTAGTCTAGGTTACACTAACTGGTCATCTAACGGGTAACCAGGATTATCAATTGTTGCAAATATTTAATTTATAATATAGTCATTTTAATTTCCCTATATTATTGTTATAATTATTTAAACCATTTTAAATTGTATTGTTTCAAATGATGAGCTACCCTACTCTGAATAAACGTCTGTCTTGTTAATCTGTGTTTTATTGTGTAATTACATTGAACTAAAATTTGGTGTTTTATATAGGTACAATTTTGAACCCACCTCCCAAACGGGAAGGTATTTAAAATATATAACCGTAACATACCCCCCTTACCTACGGAAAAAAAAATAGAATATTTTTTTTTTAGAATATCTTTAACAAGAATAGAATATTTTTAATAAGAATACCGACACTCCATAAGACACAAAAACTACCTTTCAAAGTAATAAGCAAATTAGCGAAAAGAGAAAACAACAACAAAAATGCTACTGTGGCTCGGCCTCCCCCTTATACGGTTTCAGATCCTTTACATGCCAGTTACCCTTCGATGTGCCATGTTCATCCATTAGCTCATATACGTTTATACCTAATTTGTTTTTGATTTTATAAGGACCTGTGTATTTTTTGCCTAATTTAGCAGTGTAACCTCTAGCCGCATCCGAAAGATTGTATTCTTTTTCCACACAAAATCACCAACATTAAATGTTACTGGTCATGTCTAAGATTATATTGATGTTTAGTTTTCTCATGGACACTTTGTAATTTTTCTGTTACCAATTTACGCAACCTCTCTAACACTACTGACCTTCCCTCTGTCTTCACATTCTCACTATCACTTTTACACTCATCCCTTTCACGCTCTCTTTTATAATCTTTGCCATCCACCATCATTTCACAACCAAAATTCACGAAATAAGGCGTATTACCCGTAACTTCACTTTTTGCTGTTCGATATGCACAAGATAATTCAAGCAAATATTGGTCCCATTTTTTATGATTTTCCTTAACATAGCAAGAGATCATTGTTTTTATTACCCTATTAACCCTTTCTGTAAAATTTGGTTCTGGATGATAAAGAGGATTGGCTAAAAATTTTACACTGTATTTATTTAATAATGCACTAAATTCTTTACTTTTATATTGTACTCCGTTATCAGCTTTTAAAAATTCTGGCACACCAAATAAGAGAAATGATTGTTCTATAAGTTCAGATACTTTGGAAGCAGTAGCTTTACGTAATGGAAAAAATAATGAGAATTTACTAAAATAATCTGAGTAAACTAAAATATATTGGTGACCTTTACTACTACGAGGTAATGGACCTACTAAATCTGTTGCCACGTATTGCCAACACCGCTTAACTACAGGTTTTTCACCCATCATTCCAGCTTTCATTCTTTGTTCAGGCTTTTGCTCACCACACACTTTACACTTATTTACATATTTACAAACTTCAGACTTCATACCAGGCCAAAAATAATGTTCACTAATTTTATGATAAGTTTTAAAAATACCTAAATGTCCACCATTTAAAGGATTATCATGATACTTAGCTAATAAAAGTTTTCTTTCAGATTTTGGTACTACTTTTTTCCAGGATGCGTCATTGACATGATCCCTATGTTTACCTACATGTTTATACAAGTCGCCATTTCCCGAAATACGCCAATTTGGATATTGTAACGGATTATTATTAATATTTTTTTTCATTTTTTCAATCCAATTGTCTGTTTTACCCGTGTCTAGTTTTATATTTAACATATCGAGTTTTAATTGTCGACTTAAGCAATCTGGTACTTTGTGTTCTTTACCAGGTCTATGAATGATATTAAAATCGTAAGCTTGTAAGCGCAATGCCCACCTACCTAATCTACCTTGAGGGTTCTTTAAATTATGGAGCCATAACAAGCTATGATGGTCAGTTACAACTGTGAAATGAGTCCCTTCTAAATAACATCTGGCTCGTTCTACGGCCCAAATAACACTTAAACATTCTAATTCTGTGACTGTGTACTTACGTTCACATCTGGTTAATGTACGAGACATATAGCAAATTACGTGTTCTTGACCATCATACCTTTGCAAAACGACTGCCCCTAACCCATATGAACTAGCATCACATTCAACAATAAATTCCTCATTAAAGTTTGGACAAGATAAAATTGGAGCACTGACTAGACAATTTTTAATTTGTTGAAAAGCTTCTTCACACTGGGCAGACCAAACAAATTTTGCGTTTTTTCTGGTTAAATCAGTTAAAGGCGATACTAAACTTGAGAAATGTGGTACAAACCGTCTATACCAAGATATCATACCTAAAATTCTACGAACTTCTTTAGTTGACTTTGGTTTTGGCATGTCTACAACTGCACTAACTTTACTTGGATCTACCTGCAATCCCTGTCTATTGATTATGTAACCTAAAAATTTTAATTCACTCCGACAAAACTGACATTTATCTTTATTTAAAGTTAACCCTGACTCTTTAAGACGCTTAAATACTTCTTCTAATACCGAAAAATGAGTTTCAATATCAGGCGTTACAATTACTATATCATCCAAATATTTAAAACAATATGGCTCTAATTCCGGACCGAAAAGTTTATCAACCAATGCCTGAAAAGTAGCGGGCGCATTAGTTAAGCCAAATGGCATTCTATTAAAATGAAAAAGACCTCTTCCTGGTATTGCAAAGCTAGTATACTTTTTACTATTTTCACTCATTTTTATTTGCCAATATGCGCTTTGAATATCTAATGTTGTTAAATACTTTGCATTTCCTAAACGATCTAAAATAGTACTTAAATTTGGTAATGGGTATGCCCACTTTTCAGAAATTGAATTAATTTTCCTAAAATCAACGCAGAACCTATATGTGTTGTCTTTTTTCGGAATCATTACTATTGGAGAACTATAAGAACTTGTGCTTTTCTCAATTACGCCTAGCTCTAACATTTTTGTTATTTCTAAGTCAATTTTGTTTTGGATTGCCTGACTTACTCTGTAATTTTTCTGTTTAATTGGAGAATTTTGAGTTACAATAATTTCATGTTCCACTAACGATGTACACCCTAACTTAATATGTTTTATTGAATCAAAATACTTTTCTACAATAATATTTAACTTTTCTCGTTGTGCTAAAGATAAATCATCTGACGTTGAAATAGAATTTGTGACTAAGATATCTTTATGATCTTGTTCCCCAAAATGCCATTCACCCCTTCTCAAATCTGGTACAATCCCCATTTTAATCCAAAATTCGGTTCCTAGCACTAACCTATGCCTAAGATTGTTTAAAATATATACTTGGAAAACGACTATTTTGTTTTTAAGCTTAATTGGCACTGACATAAATCCTAGACACTCGAGTTCAGAGCCATTTGCGACAGTACAAGTCATGTCAGAAACATTTTGTAGTTTTACCCCTAAACTTAACATCACATTCATAGTGTGCTCATTGACAAATATTCTATTCGCCCCAGAATCAAGCAACCCTTTTACTTCCCAATCATATAACCTAACTGAAACATATGGACATTCACCATCTCCGGCCTGAGTTAACATGTAGTCTAAAATTGGTTTACTATATGTGTTAAAGTTAAACAGTTCATCCTTAGAACAAAAATTATCAATACTAGAATCTAAGCCAAAATTATCAACCGATAAAACCGTCGAAGTTGAAGCTCGGTTTACACTTAACTCCTCGAACCGTTTCCCTGTTTATTACATTTTGGACAACTAACTTTTGTATAACCTAATAACCCACAAGAAAAACACTTTCTGACCTGCGCTTTACAATGTCTTGCTAAATGATTATCCCCATTACATCTATAACACTTAACGACGTTCCCTCTAGTGTTATTATCCAAATCCCTATTATAACTATCATACCTACTATTTCTATGTTCCCTATAACTACCTAAATCAGATCTATCCCTACAGGACGACCTGCCCCTATTAAAACTATTTTCCCTAGGCTGATTCCCAGCAAAATAATCATTATTTCTACTTAACCTATTTTTATTATAATACCTTTCTGGGGTATTATGACGTTCCCTACTTCTGTCTTGATAAAATCTGTCCCCATTATAACTTTCAACACTACTCGAACGATCGTTACTCCTATTCCTATAAAATCTAGCTCTATCATATGACCCATCTCTCCATTTATTTACTGTCCCAGTTCGTCTGTCTTGTTCCCTAACGCTACCCCGATTTAACCTATCGTTACTAATTTCTCTATTTCTACCTAAGTGAGCATTTCTATCTGTACTTTCTCTATCTGAACTATAGTTTCTACTTTTATTATTTGAAATTTGTTTATTACTTGGTTGTAAATTAAAACTGACTTGTTTCTCTGCTTCCAAACTATCTAACCTTTTCCTACTTTGTTTTTCAATCGCATTAGCCTTATATAGCAAATCTGGTTCAACTGAGTGCTTATCTACTGTTGGCGGTACAAAATTCAAAACATTCACTCTACTATCCTCAATTCGTTTACAAAGCTTAATAAGTTCATCCACTGTAGATATGTCCACTAACCCTAGCTGCGTTTGATAAAATGGTAAAATATTTTTTCTCAAAATTTTTAGTTTCATAGCTTCGTTTATTGATGCAGAGCATCTGTTAAATAAATTAGTCATGTATGCTACATAAATTGTAATGGATTCTTTTTCCCCTTGAGTTCTTGATTTGATTTGCTCCCATAACCTTTCAGTATAATCCCTAGGCAAAAATTCTTCCCTGAAATGTTCACATAAAGTTTTCCAATCATTAACTTTCCCTTTTAATGCCCTGTAGAAAATAAGAGCCTTTCCCTCAAAAATTTCAATAGCACCCCTGAATAAATCATCATGTGACACATTATGAGCTTCACACAGTTCTTCAATTCTTTCTAAAAATGCATTTAATCCCATTGTATCTGAATCCCCACTAAAAGTTAAACCCCACGAAGAAAAATTAACCCTTTTGTTAAGACTTAAATTATTCATTAATACTGGCAGCCCAGTTGCACTTTGATTTTCAGTTGCATTTGAACTAGACCTATTGGGAGTTGAAGTTATTAAACTTTGCTGAAATTGGATATCTAAAGGTTCTGACGATCCCTTATGTTCCTCACACAACTTTCGAAAAAGTGATACATACTTAAAAATATCAGTTAAGAGTTTTGCTTTTATTTCTATTATTTCTTTATCATTGGAAGTAATTCTCTCACAACGACCTACTAAATGCCCTAATTTTGATTTTAATTTTCTAATAATGGCCTCCGATAGTGGAGCTTTAATCAGAGATTCAAGATCTATTAATTTTTCCTGGCAAATTTTAATTTCACTCTCAGCATCAAACTCAACTTTCATACTAAATGAATGACCCTCGTTCTCTAAAGTTAGCAAATCACGAAGTGTCCTTGTTAACTCTTTGACATTTCCAGTTGGTAAAATTCCTCTAATCTTAATTTCATACTCAAGCTCTTCCTTTACGAGCCTATCAGGTTCAATTTTCATCATTTTGATAAGTATTATGATACGAAATAGAAATAGAAAATAGGACTTATATAAAGATTAAAAAAAATTCAAATAAATTCAGAATAAATTATCAATTAACTTACTATTAAAAATTTCAAACTTTAAATTTAAAGAGAAAGCTGAATAAACCAATTGAGCAATCTAACCAGCAAATATAATCTATATTTTTTTTTTAAATACCCTCTTATAATCTCAGAAAAATAGAGTGCAAAGGACCAAAAAAAATGCGGGAAAAAATACACAGTTTACAATAAATATATCTACCAATTTTATCCAATTACTCTCGAGTTAGGTTGGACTTGGCACATCCAGCGTAGACTGTTGACTGTTAAATTGATGAGTAGGGACTTCTTGGTGATCCTGACGATGATGGAAACTGATGAAATGCTTTGCTCTCTCCTGCGGACTCTTACAACTGTTCGGGCGCCATTTGCTACCTTCCCGTTTGGGAGGTGGGTTCAAAATTGTACCTATATAAAACACCAAATTTTAGTTCAATGTAATTACACAATAAAACACAGATTAACAAGACAGACGTTTATTCAGAGTAGGGTAGCTCATCATTTGAAACAATACAATTTAAAATGGTTTAAATAATTATTACAATAATATAGGGAAATTAAAATGACTATATTATAAATTAAATATTTGCAACAATTGATAATCCTGGTTACCCGTTAGATGACCAGTTAGTGTAACCTAGACTAAAAAAATTACCTACTCTACTAAAATTTAATATATATGAAAAACGGGGTACCCACGATATAAATGATACTTAAATTACTAAATAAATGGTCTTTACTAAAACTAATCAGAAGCAACAAAAAAAAATAGGTACAATATTTATTAAGTACGCAGGAACGAGAGGGAGCTAATAAAGAGTTTGGTACTTAGCTTTTATTCGTAAGGGTCCCAAAAAAAATCCCCTACGCCAGGATCTGCCGCACAACCAGAAGGCCCAACCACGTGGCTTCCCCTTAGCTGATCAATTGGTTTGAACAGGAACCTCGCTAGCCAGTCGTGAAAACCCTCGTGGAATCAAGTTGGTGCGTAAAAAGAAAAACCAAACCAAGGTGCCTAATTTAAAATTAACCCAATAAAAATTTGTCCCACGTGATAATTAATAAACCAAAATTAACTTACCCAAACTGTGGGCGATTTCCTTGGAAATAATACAAAAGATGCAACGCTATTAGTTTCGTCTCAATCCAGCCGTAGCTGTATGATATATATATAATATCAATTAAACGTAGAGAATTATTAACCTTTCCCAAAATCAAATGAAAGGATTTTTCCAACTCAAAACGTGACTTCACTGCCAGCGTGCCGAAAAGAAAAGAAAGGAAATCACCAGACAGGTGGGCGCTTGGAATTTTAATATCGATACCCCTTCCTGATATAAATTTAGCTATAAAATCCCTAGGTACATCCGCAACCAGTTAAGTACCAATGTTGCCAGGAGTAATCCGATAATAAAAGAAACTTAATAATAAATCAAACAATAATAATAAGTTAAATGCAATTACAACTAGATACAATTGATAAGAGTTTAAGATCATTAATAAATAAAAGTATTAAAATAAGTTAAATGCTAAAATTAATTATTTAGAGACTAAATATGAATGAGGTGAAATATGATTTAAGAAAACTTCAAGAAGCTGGCAACACCGTTAGACCCGTTGATGATTTGACGTTTCTGCCCTAACCACAAATTAATTAATCTAAACAAAAATCACAATCAGATTATTTATTAATAATAATTATTGAAGGTATTATTGTTATTAAAAAGGTATGTACATCGTTTCGTATAATATAATTAATATAATATGGTTTCCCTTTGTAGCAACCAAACAACTAACAAAATGCAATGAATATTTCCACTTGAACAGAAGTAAACAAATACCAAAAGTAAGTATATAAAGTGGTTATTATTAATATTACTTTAATTAACGTTATTTTAGATAAATAAGAAGTCTTTACACGATGCATTTACCCTTCCATAACCTGAAGAATAATACCTCAAGATCGAGTCAAAGATATTATTTACAAAATATTACATTTGGCTAAAAATACAACAATATGAAGTTAAATTATGATTTAAAGTTAATGCACATTTACTTTACTTGTAAATAGAAAATAAATAAATAATTAATATGTATTAAGAAATGTATTGTTATATTTTATTAACGTGCCATCTTCAAGGTTATAAACAAAATAATAAATCACCACATTCACCATTTTGTCAAGATATATCAATTAAAATAAATATAAGAAAATTAATTCCCCTTTAAAATATATAACCGTAACAAAATTAATCAGTTAAATAAAATAATTTAATAAATTACTAGCTTTTTCCCGCGACTACGTTCGCGTTACACCTCGAATCGTTTATGCATTGATTTCAATGATTTTTTACTTCTTTATAGAGAGCTAGTGAGCATAGATGTTTTTATTTTTCATCTTTTTTTTATTTATTAAGAGCACTAATACTCTCTTTATAGGTTATTTTTTATTCTTTGAAGGATAATTGAGGAAGATATATTTCGTTATGATGTCACTAAATAAACCCTTGTATAAAATTTTATACTGTCTGGTTTATAATGTTATAGTAATTGCATTTTCCTACAGCAAACTTTCATTCCCTATTCTACTCCCTAAGTGTATAAATTTCATAAATTCGCTTTATCTTTGTGCCAATTTTTATGTGTATAATCCAGAGCTCACCAAGTTTTATATAAATTTTTACTAACTTTACCCATTTGGTTGATGAATTTCAAAAATTTCTTCTAATTCTTTTTGTAGGATTTCATTCTTCTAGACCAAATAGTAAGGAATTTTCATACAACAAACTGTTCCGACATAATTTTACTCTCTAAGAGGATAAATTTCCTAAAATCACTTTGTGTAGCTAATTCACTAATGTCGTTTAAACGAACCTTTGTGCTAATATTTATGTATCTAAAGCTGGCGGTATGAACTCACTCCTAAAATATCTAAAAACTTAATATATAATCTAACTGACACACCACTGACAATGACAAATAATTTATTTCTGGAGGTAATGTGTGTAGGTGTTTTTCAGGTATGTTTTAGTATTTAGTCGTTTTACACAAAGAAATAGCCATTAAGCACTATGAAAATACTTCATAACAAATCTACACATATATACCGTATGATCGAAAAAAAACGGCGTCCAGGTGACTGGGAAATGACGATCGATGACATTTCCCATATAAATTTACATATAAAATGACAGCGATCTTCATTTCATAGCCATCGCTGACGCCGTTTTTATTCGATCATACGGTACCTTTCATTTAAAAAAGAATCATCAAGATTGGTGAAGCGGTTTCGGCGGGATGGATGCAACCTTTGAATAAGAAGACTAAGCAAGGAGCATATCAAAAATCTTAGGTACACCGCGATGGGCCTCAAATATGGCCGACTTAAATTCCGGTTTATCAGTTCTAATTTTATTTAAAAAATGTAAAACTATGATGTAGGGTAGACGTGGGGTAGACTCAATAATTTGTTGTTTTATGTTACGTTGTGAATAAATGTTGGTAGTTATTAAAATTGTTATAAAAATATATAATTCTAATAAAAATAGATAAGTTATAATAAGTATTTATTAACACAAACATCCGATACGCTACTGAAGCAGGTAAGTCAAATTAACGTATCTAAATTCGTTGACATCTAATCTTTGACAAGTAATAAATAAAAGCTAAAATGCAAGAAAAATATATAATATACACGTATGTATATAATATAGTCACTTACTAGCGAAAAGTTGTTCCATTATTTCACTCAATTTTTGCCGAGATCTACCGCACGCTACACAACCAACTATTTTAGAATATTTTTCGATAAATCGCGATAGTGTCACTGTTAATTTAAGTTCTGCCACAATTTCCATCTAGATTTACTACCTTTATACAACTATCAGTAGTAGAATAAATAATAAATAACATAAAATAAGCTCCGTAAAGACTGACAAATCCACAAAATTTCAAATCAAATTCAAATGTGTCAAATGAATCGTCAAACAGAACTGTCAAGGATCCCCACCCTAGAGTGCTTTTATGGCGCTTTTTCCGCCCACCATGCATGAATACATGGATAGCATTATGCTCCTTCCTTAGTCTTCTTATTCAAAGGATGCAACAAAAAATCCTTTGAGCTTTTATATATGTATGCATTAATTATTTTTCCAACATATTTTACTTTGCAAATTTTTATAAATATTCAGACTCGCCAATATCGTAGTCCACCGTGTCCAGCCTGTTTAGCCAAACGTAGGCCGATTCCTCTTCGGCAGCGCGCGGCGTCGTGAACATTTCTTATTTGTGAGATTAAAAAAACAAAACAATGCATTGGTTAAAATAAGTACATTCAATACATGTATTGTGTTAGACATTTATATGCCCAGTATATTTTTGTTTAACAAACCAATCAGGAAAATATCCAAAACCTACCGTTATAGGAGGTATAAGATGATTAAACTTATATAATGACAACTACTTATCGGATAACAAATTAATTACTACTGTCAGCTACTGTCTAGGTAGAATATACCTAGAGTACCTACACCTACCTATGATGTAGGTAGATTAAGGCTTATTTTGACTTTACGTCTCACTTCGGTGTCACAAGCTGAATTTTTCAGGGATGGAAGTACAGTACATGATATGGGGACCCTTATTCCGAAAGTAGTACAAAATTAGACCGGGTAAAAGGGCACTATCATCAAAAATCGATATATTAATACCAGCGTATAGAGAAAACAAATACTTATTTTTTGATTCAGTACACAATAAAGTCTTCGTAGGGAGTAATTTTTTATAATTATTTACAAAAAAACATTTCCATTAGCGCTTATGACCAAAAAAACTTTAAACATGAATAACTCATTTCAATCATGCGAAAATTTGGTTTAAAAATAGACTTTTTTTAATATAACTTTCATTTAAGGAAAAACGAAGGCCTAAATGAAAAAAAGAAACAATTTAAAAGTTTCGCTTATGTCTTGACAAGGTATCAAAGCAAACCCCATATTTTTTGCTTTTAAACTAATAAAGATATATCAATAAACAATCAGCGATGTAATGGTTTTTGCGCGCGCTGGCCGACTGCCGCCGCTGCGCCGAGATTTTACTATACCCTTGTATATATGACGTCATGGTGTGGCAAATGTAGCGTTTTAATTCGATTTGGGCTCCCTTATATAGGATAACAGAAACATTTTCAATGTTAAAAATAGCACGACGATACTCGCCAAAGCCAAAGCAATTTGCTTTGGCACTCTATAAGCGAAATCTTAAGAGCTTGGCAGCAAATCTTTCGTGTTAACATGGACATGGTAAAAAATAAATTTGTTCTTTGATATAAAGAGCGATAGAATTTTTGGTTTTGAAGATCTAGGAAACGGGAACGACAATGAACGACAATCAGGGCCCTGCAAAAATGTTCTTGTCATTATATTCTAATAACCGATGCAGGTGCTCAGTTGCAAGCCATTAAGCTTCGTTCCATTTTGAGAAAATGTATATTAAAATTAACAAAAAATCAATTGAATATAGAAGAAACAATATTTCAAGGGTAACCCTGCGACAACACATAATTTGAATTGGGTGTATAAAACTTATTGTATTTTTTCGATCCATGTCATTTAATTAAGGCCACACCAAAATGAAATAACTTAAAACAACATATTTTCAGCTTTGAAAATAAAACTACATCATGTGGGTATAATAAAAACGGGTATATATTGAAACTTTTTACTATTCAGATTAATCTGTTTTGGAGGTATGCACCTAAATTAACTTTGCTCATTTATATCCTTTAAAATAATGAAAGTTATGCGGCGCAAGTTTTGAGCCATTCAGTGGTATGTGGTATAAACACATATATGAGTTTGAGCACACTATCTCATGAGGCATTTGGCACAATTAAAGTAACTGAAAACTTTAATTGTCTTTTTGATGTTCTCAATTCAATTTCACCACAAAACCCCTCCAAATTTAAAATTGCCTTTGACAAATCGGATTTCAGAATAAATATTTGACAGAAATATTAGAATTTCTAAAAAATTTAAAAATAATAAACATCAAACTATATGGGGAGTATAAGACAGAAAAGGTGGGAAATGTGTAAATCCCAGCCGTATCCGGTTTCAAAGAGCGTTTAAGAAACATTTATTCAAAATTATTTTCATTCGAAGAACGTATATTGCAAACCAGACCACGACCAGAGAATCTTATAAAAGAAGACTTGGAAATAAATAATAAACAGACTTGGAAATTTTAGCTGTATCTGTATCTGATCATAGTTAGAGAACTGAAAATATACACAAACAAATTTAAAACAGAATACACTAATAGGGAAGTCTTAGTACGACATCAGAGAATTCACTTGGAACCATGAAGATGGTTTCGGCGAAGTTTTCATGTGAACACTGAAAAAAATATAGAAGTTTAAAATTATGAGAAAAACTAATGATGGCAGGTTTTAAATATGTACCTCATGACAAGAAATCTGATTACAGACAGTGCCTGGAAAACTATGTGGGGAGTATAAGGCAGAAAAGTGGGAACTGTGTAAATCCCAGTTCTATCCAGTTTCAAAGTGCGTTTAAGAAACATTTAATTCAAAATTAAAGGAAATGTAGAAGTTTAAAGTTATGGGACAAATTAATGAAAGCAAGTTTTAAATATGTACTTCATGACAAGAAAGCTGATTACAGACAGTGCCTGGAAAACTATGTGGGGAGTATAAGGCAGAAAAGTGGGAACTGTGTAAATCCCAGCCGTATCGAGTTTCAAAGAGCGTTTAAGAAACATTTAATTCAAAATTAAAGGAAATATAGAAGTTTAAAATTATGGGACAAATTAATGAAAGCAAGTTTTAAATATGTACTTCATGACAAGAAAGCTGATTACAGACAGTGCCTGGAAAACTATGTGGGG